GGACCTTGCTAGATGTTGCTTTTATTTCCACCACAACTCTTGATTCAAAATGTGACCAGCTGTGCATGACTCTAATTTCAAATGCACATTGGCTGCAGTACAGGTTGAACTTCTCTTGACCAGGACTCTCTGATCTGGCAATATCCCTTGGTTGGGAGCCCTGCAGTACAGCTGCCCTGTGGCAGTGAAACCTGGAGCACTCCAGTGTGAGGGCTGGGGAAGGTAGCAGGGCTGACCAGGGGGCTGGAGCCCAGCAGTGGGACTGCCCAGCAAGACCAGGAGGTAGTGGGGTTGCTTGCCTGGCAGTACAACTAGGAGCCCTGCAACCCTGCTGTTGACCAGTGGCTCAGCTGCGCAGTGGGACTAGGAGGTAGTAGGGTTGCCCTGCGGGGATGGGAGCCTGACCGGAGGGCTGCCTGGTGGTGGGGCCAAGAACTCAGGAGTGGGACTGCTGAGTGGTATAGCAAAGAGCCCGGCAACCCTACTGCCATCTGGTGGAGCTTCCAGGTGAGGTTGGGAGGCAGTGAGGCCAACAAGGATTAAGGGGTGTTTCGGAATAGCGCTCTATTTTGAAATTATCTTGAAATATGCTATGTAATTTGTATAGCTCAAATTGCATAGTTTATTTTGAGCTATGGGTGCAGTGTATACATACCCTATTAGAGTTGCTGGGGCCCAGAACAGAAGTCTGAAGCCCTGCTGCATGAAGTCCAGCCGAAGCCTAAGCAATGTAGTCTTTTAGGCCCCGGTGGCATAAGACCCCAAACAATTGTTCTAATTCCTACCCCTTAGCGCCGGCTCTAGTTTTAATATGCAGAAAAGCAATTATTGTGGCACAAGTGGGCCGTGTAGTTTTTATAGCATACTGACGGGGGTTTCAGAAAGGAAAAAGCCTGAAAACCTCTGTTCTAAATTGTAGCAGATAATACCTTTTGTAATCATTCCGTGGACGCTGGGCCTGCTAAATGACTGAACTGGACTAATGCTAGAATATCCCTTGCCCTGTTCCTCTCCCTACAACCTTGTCCTACCTCTTTCTCCTGAGGCCCCACTTCATCCACTCCTCTTTGCTGCCCCACTGCTCATTGTTTTTACCTTCCCACCCCTCTGCCCAGGGCAGGAGGGAGAAGGACTCGCCTGCAGAGCCAGGGCTCCCTGCAGGTAGAAGGGGGCTCAGGCTGCATGGGGGCTGGTGTGGCTGCTGAGCTGGCACCTCCCTACCGCAGCTTGGCAGATGTCGAGTATCTGCGCAGTAGATTGCACTGGATGCTATCAGGTCCCCTGTCCAACCAGACTTTCTGGACGAAAACTGGGCACCTGGCCACCCTAGTCCTGTTTCCCTGCTCTGTGGGGTCCCTGGCCCTGTCTGACGGGGGTGGCTAGGCCCATGGTGGTGGAGGGGAGATAATGCCTGTTCCCTTTTACGCGGCGGGGGGGAGCCCAAGGACATCCATAGAGACGCTTCCCCTTTAAGCGCCGCCTTCTCCGGAGCACCCGACGTGACGCGCGGGGTGACGTCATTGCGCAGGCAGGTGGGTGGTGCTTTTTGGGTGCGTCATTTCCGTTTCTCTTAGTGGTGGTTCGGAGAAGAGAGTAGCACGCAGAGCGGGACGTGAGTATCGCATCGCGCCCAGCTCCCGCCGCCATTTTAATCTTCTCTCTCAGCTCAGGGCCTGCCGAAGCTGGGGGAAGGGGGAGCCTGCAGCTCCACGCTCGGAGCCGCGGGAGGCTGAGCCGCTGCCTCTGGAGCGCTGGGGAAGGCTCGGCCCGCGTGGTTCCCGCTGAGCT